TTTTCTTACTTCCAACCTCATACATCACGTCTTTACCACCCGGCCACCCCTATCACCCTTATCACATCCTCTTCACCCTGTATCACCTTCATCACCATTATCAGATTAATCAGAGCTGTACACGGCTGCGCCGCTGCAGAGCCAGCTCTTCAATCCCATCTGAATTCAAAGAAGTGTATATGACATCACATGAGATCATGTTACAGAGCATTTGATAAAATGAACATAGAGAAGAGCATAAGAAATGTAAGTACTGTAGAGAATGTATGAAAGAAGCAGAATAAAAAAAAGAATGAAGATTTGAAGATTGATCTGAGCTGTATGAGTCAGAGCATTCAAATATTTTTGATAGAATGCATATGATGTCACATTACAGTGTTTTTTACATGGAAAAGTTGGTTTTTCTATAATAAATAGAGTATATTAATGAATGTAGAGAAGAGTATAGTAAATCCTGTTCATGGATTTGATGGGGTGCATGTGATATCATGTGAGGTCACGTTACAGGGCATTTTACTCGGAAAAGTTGGTTTTTCTATAATATATAGAGAGATGATGGAGGAGTTCTTGAAGTAGTTGATTGATATTATGAGAAGCTAGCTGCTACATGGCATTTTATAGGAGCTTGCAATCACTGATCACGTGGATCAGTGGCTGTAGTGAGTGTGTGGGCGGAAGCAGTCGGCCCGCAAGGGAGGCAATCCGATCTGACATGATTGTAATTGATTTACAAAGGTGAGCATTGGGTGGAAACAAGTGTTAGGTGGTTGATTATGTTAAATGTTGGATGAGGAACCGTGCATTGTCTCTGAACTCCGCCGAATTCGATATGAATGCACCTATCATTAGCTGCTTCATGGAGGTATTTGCTAGTAAGTTGTTGTGTTCAATTGATTTTTGTACGTAACTAGTTTTCTACATGAAGATCCACATATAAATAACTAACTTAAAATCCATTGAAAGATTCACATTTCTGAGCCATAATTAATTTCTTCTCTCTTCTTTTTTCAACACCCCCAGCGCACAAAGTTCTCAGAAATTTCAACAACCCAGTGTACTGTTATCCTGTGTTGTGGTAACACGCGCTATTGTGAACAACTGAATGATCCCCTTCTTCTTGAACGGCGTTCTCTATCGTAATTGACGATCTCAGCCTACCAAGCTTCACCACAGCAACACCTTTTGTGGCTGAAAACTTATTTTGTTCGTGGATCCTATCTCTTCGTCAGTTTCCCCTAACATGTCTAATATCCCTTGGCCAATTGCCAAATATCTAGTCCTTCATTACTAGTACTACACATACACATCCTCTGCACCCCATCTTCTGCCCTAGCTATTATTCGACGACGAGCAACATGGTGAATCTAGGAAAATATATCACGCGAATCGACTACGGCAGGACTGAATATGAATGTGCCTACTGTTACAAAACCACAACTTCGCTCACTGCCCTGACCCAACACTGTCGTGATTCCCGGGCCCATTGCTGGTGCAATCGCTGTGAAAGGGTATTCCCTCACAATACGGCACTGGATGATCATTTGAAATATTCTTCTGCACATCACATCTGCGAGAGAGGTGATTGTTATGAAGACTTCCCAATATCTGATGAGTTGGTAGACCATAAAGAGGAGTGCCATAACTGGTGCAAGCCTTGCAATTGGTTTGCAGAGAGTCAATATCAGCTCAGAGAGCATGATATCAACAGGCATTTCATGTGTGGAACATGTGGTATCTTTTTCCCGAATGATAATAATCGGCGAATGGTAAATCCCAAGGCCTCCTCCCACTTCTAAATGCTCTTGCAAACGGTTGCCGTGATTTGGTTATCTTTACATTCCGTTCTACTCTTACTAAAACAAACCATAGCATATGATCACCCACCAAGAGCGCGACAGAGAATGTTACGGATGCACAAGGATGTTTTCAACCTTCTCTGCCATGCTGATCCATCTCGAGGCCGGAAGGTGTTGCACAAGCAGAGACGAGTTGAAGTCCATAGCTGCCGAATGTATAGAGAGCGACGAATATTTCCGAGGTTTTGATGAATATTTCCCGTTCTATTGTTCAAACTGCGACGTCGAGTTTTCCCGCCTCTCTGGACTCTACCAGCATGTTGAAATGCGCCTAGAGTGTCAAAACTTGCTTGAAGACGGTTCTTGTCTTTATGATCTGGAACACCACCTCAACAATGAACTCTCTGACTAGTGTTTTGGCCTTTGCAGTCGCACTGCTTTAGTTGAAGTCTGAACTCTGTAAAATTTTGTAATCAAACGGCCTGTACAGACATTTGCCATGTGACTTTACATGTATTTGTCCTGTGCACTTGTTCTCCATCTTCTTTTGTCTTTGTTCTGGGGATGTGCTTGGTGGTCTTTTGTCTGTTCAGATTATGATGGTTAGATGTTTCTTTCTACTTCATTCTTTCCACTGCATTTTTACCCATGTGTTGGATGTCCTGCAAAAACAGCTCTCTCATTTTCGCTACATTGCGTGTATGGGGAGAGGAGGTTTCAGTAATCTTTGAGTGCTTCTTTATTTCCTTGTGTACGTGGAAGGGGCCCTTTCCTCTTTGTCTATGAGGGCTGCACAAAGTGGAAGAAGCCCATGGAGGGATGTACGGATATATTCCATAAGTCTAGTACTTTCTATGAAGGAACATATCGTGGTTTGTCTTTCTTTTCTTTTCCTTTCTTTTCTTTTCTTTTCTTTTCTTTTTTTTATTATTCAAGTAGAGTAGAGTAGTGTAGTGTGTTACTTTTTTGTGGAGCGAAGCGAAGCAATATGTTAGGTGCTTTAAAAACCTGATTAGAATAGAAGGTGTGATCTTGCAGGCCCCATTCTGTGATATGATTGGTTGAAAAAATGTACACCCCACGTGACCGCCCGTATAGGAAGCCGCAATAGCCTGTATAGATAGTCACCACTCATTAAGCAGGTAATTACAGCTTCAACAAGAGATCTTACTCTCTCTTTTGTAAGATCTTTATGTTCTATAAGATCTCTATTTCAAAACTACTTCTCTGTGCTGCAGAACTATGTTCTATAGCAGATTCTTTCATATTTTCAATCTATTATAGTTTTTCAATCTTCTACAGCTTCTCTGCAGACTGCAGCAATATATCTGTCATCTGCAATCTGTTATGAGAAGTAAAACCTGTTCTGAATATTATCATTCTCTGGCTCTTGAGTAATTTACATCTAATCACTCATTAAATATCTCTTTTATAATGTGCAGAGCTTGCTGTGATTACTATATAAATGTCAGAGCTTGAAAACACTTCAGCAGTACAGCTCAACTCTCTACAGAATTCTCACAATCTGTCTCTAAGACTTTCAGAGAATTGCTGCTAAATATCAGATCAGAGATGATAATATTAAGTTACTTAATATTAAAGAAGTTAAGATTGAATACCTGTACTGTGAAAATATCTCTTTTCAGAGAAAATTGAATCATGTTCAGCATCTCTTGAAAATAGCTATTGAATTTATCAAAGATAATTAGATAGCTTGCAGACTGAGCTGTGAGTCTGTATGAGTGTTATTTTTTTTAAAAAAAATAGTTATTACAGAGTAATCAAATTAATGATTTATAGAGAAGAATGATGATGATGAAAATATTCAATTCTACTATATTGCAGTCTGTCTGTAGAATTGCTGTTTCCTAATGCAGACTAGCTCCGCAATAATTAGCACACCAAGGCTCGTGTGCTACAAAAACATTTTAGTTACTTCACCCCTGGATGATGTCAGCGGTGGTCCGAGCGTAGTCTGTGCCCCGAGTTTGGTTTTTGATAAGCTCGACTTCGCCATCTTTTTGAGAACCTCCATTACCTTACGCCTTTTTGGCAGAACTCAGAGCATAAAATTCATGGTATCTATTCATCTCTGTGTCGACGAGGAAATCAAATTCTCTAATTTTGGTCGTGCTAATTGGTAGGGAAGCATACTTTAATCTCTAATAGGCGGGTTGCTCCTACCAGGACCTCCGGGTTGGAAACATGGCTGCTTGCTATCGGTTTGCGGAGAATCAAGGACCTTTCCCACTGTACTTAAACGGGTGGGCTAAATTGTTTCCATATGTCTACCAAAGGGCTATGGAGGAGGGGAAGGCTTTAGAACCTCCGACCTTTATTCGCAGAGTGCGCCAATTAGTGGAATGGGCTTCGCCTTTCAACAATTCCCCAGGTGAGTGAAAATTTTATTCCTAAGAATGTTGAAAAAGGAGGGGAATGGGAAGACGCGATAGTGTCATCAAACTGATTCTTTGTTTGAACAGTATATTTTGCTTGTGGCTATTTATCAGCATTTGATTTCCAGTTGGCGAATATACCTTCTCATAGGTTTCGGCGAGTTCCCCAAAGTATTCGACTATCAGCTATTCTTTTTGCATTAATTTACCCTCCCTTCTACCTCAGGTTTCTGGAGGATCAGTACTTTTGAATGAGCGATATCCATTTAAATCAAGCTTTCCATTTCCCCACCCTTCTTCCCTTCTCGCGAATGCTCAGAGAATATTCAGTCTGAAATTTGGGCCTGCCCTTCCTCTATACTTTTTGTTATCTGTTCCCTAATCTAAACACTTATTTGACGTCGCTCTCTTATTCATTTTGTTATCTAAGTCAACTATCTTCTCCTACTCTCCCTTACAGATGACATCAAATAAGGGTTCTGGACCAAACCCTACCAATGAGCCGATGGGCCTTAATGCTCCAGAAACAACCCAAGTTACGTCCGGGCTAGAACTATTGCCGGTCGAACTTCAGCGCGCGATCTTGGAACGTGTCAGTATTGAGTTCAGCCGGGGTTGATACATGACATTTTACTAATAGAGATTGGCAGGTTCCAAGACGGGATGTGCTCAATGCGGCCAGGGTCAAAGCCATGTCTTATGCGGCTCGTCTAATTCTTTATACTACGGTTTCCCTCCGGCTAGCTCAACATGAGAGTTTTATCGAGGACATAAACCGGTTTGTTTCCGCGGGCCGGCAGAATATGGCTTTGGTTCAAAACCTTTCAATCCTGAATTGGAAGAAGCGAAGGGCCGTAGGCAGTGGACATCCTTACCGTTTCTACCGCAATGGTGAGTGGAGGCGGCGAAATCTGTTTACTCAGAATTCCAACCACTTCAATGAGACGATGCGAGGTTTGTTTGCCAGCATTTCCAATCTACGAACTGTCCGGTAAGCTATGAACAATCCCACCTGATTATTTCCTTTTTGAGAACTTAATTTGATTTACTCTCATAGCTGGTTTCATTTATTTAAAATGAACTATGAAACTTTTGCCTCCCTTTTTGCGATGCATGTCGACACATTGATGGGAATCGAAACATATGCGCTTACGGGCGACGAAGTCCCAATTCTTCCCGGGAGTCATAGTTTGGATCGATTTCCCAGGTTAAGAATAGCACTATATGCCCCTCAGGCATCTGGTTGGGATAATACCCTGAACCCATCAATGATAACATTGCTTGCCTGTTTAACTCGGCGTCTTAATCATCTCGTGCTTGGGGATGAAGGGCTTGTTATCAGTGTAGATAGAAACACAGCGATCGCTCCAAGTCCGCCCCGTTCACAGGCATCGATATATCATGTTTTGCTCCCACTAGCTAGAATGCCGGCCGTATTTGACAATTTTTCCAAATTGGATATCATTGGCATGGATATCACTTCGCCGCCTAACCAGCTAGCCCCATTGCTCCCTGTTTTTGACTTGTACAACCTGAACAGACTCAGCTTGGTTTCCTGCGTCGGCACAGAAGGTTTTTTGAAAGCATTGTCAAGGCCTGAGCCCCAGATGATGTTTCCATATGTGGCTTCTCGGATGCGGTTGAAGGAGTTTTGTATCCGTTATGAAGGTCCCACACTAGAGCTGAAGGTCGCCTTACAACAGTTTCTAACTTCATTCACTGGCCTAGAGCTGTTATCTGTACTCCTTGACGATGAGCCAGAACGTGAGATGATGGATTACACCGGAATTATTTTGGCGCATGGACCGACTTTAAAGGTCCTTGTTTGGGATATTCGGAAATGTAATCGACACCAGCGTCCCTTCTGTTTAGAAAATCCTGTTAGAGGCAGGCCTGCTTTCCTTGAGCTCTTGAGTGAGACCTGCCCGAATCTCGAAGAACTCGGCGTTGTTCTCAACATGCGACTACTTTACCAACGAGGTCAGGACATCGACAGAATCAGCTCGCATCGTCCTTTTGCAATGGTACGACTACCGCGTCTTAAAACACTTCATTGCCGCGAATTCTTTATCCAGAAGGGTCGCTTATTGTCTACAGCCCGTGTCCTCAACGCAACCAAGGCCATCGCAACATCATTTCTCGACAGGGCATATTACTCCCACAACGGCTCATCACCACTGGAGCTATTGGCAGTTGGTCCGTTAAATTTTCATGATCGTTGGATTCAGAACCATTTTTCTCAGGATTACACCGCAACACCTGGCGCCGGCCCAGTGTTTTATGACATCAGTACATGTCCGGATAACTTAATGGGTCTCGCGCACCGGTTGAACCCGCTGTTGAGAGTGAGGCAGCCCGATCTAAACATTGAATTAGATGATGTTGAAATGATTCGGCAAGATTACAAGCACACCCGTGTCTTTGACTCTTATTGGGTGAGATAGCTGCCTGCACGCTATATCCATTTTGCACAGTGTGCACCATAGTCCCAGGGCACAGCGATGGTTACTTCAACCCCTATATTCTTAGCTACCTAGAATTAGTTCCTCCCTACTTCCGCCCTCCTATTCTTATGGGCTATCCTTTCGCTACCCACCATGATTATTCAAATGTTCAAGGTAGTTTCGGGGATAGACCATCGTGACTTTCCAGACCTCCCTCGCCTTAGTACAACTTTCCTCACACAGCTATCTGTGAATGTCGATTTATAGATTTTTATTTTTATTTTATTTTATTTATTTTTGATGGAGGTGGAAGGTTGATTTTATTTTATTTATTTTTGATGGAGGTGGAAGGTTGGTTGATTGTACACTGATCTAGCCGCGCAGCAATTCTATAGGTGTGTGGGTCACGTGGCCTCATATAGGGCATCCGGCCAACACCCCCCCTGGCCACAAGCACCCAAGCACCTGCTAGCTGGCGTGGATATTACATACAAATCTTGCCTAGTTATTCCATTGATTCTTCCTCTTCAAAGATCCCTTATATCATGTCAATTGATCCCTAACTTCTTGCTTCAATATCCCTCATTCTTGCTCCTTTCCTCCCTGGAATTTCTTCACAACAACATCCTGCTTATATAGCCTAAAACATCTTTCTCATCTCATAAGCTCTGACTCTGACTCTAGCTCTGGCTCTTCTGGCTCTGGCATTGATGTGGCTTCTGACTCTGGTGGACAGTCTTAGTTGATTATCAAAGGATTGGTTGAATATTCATATAGAGTAGGCCTTGAGCATTTGATAGAATGGATTGCTTGATTGTAGTTGAGAATGAAGCTGATTTGATCATGTATGAAGGAGATTGAGATATGTTATATCTTTTGCAAAGGGCTTTTTTTTTATGCCTCTTATTGAGGGCTTTCAATGCCTCACATTTTGAGAGCTTTGTTGATCTTTGAACGCGAATTCTAGTTATTTACTAGCCATTCTGTCAAGTCCTTATCTTGTCCACTGTTGTAGGAGACTCACAGAATCAACCCCTTTTTAAAGCATGTAGTTGATGGCGCGGGAGCGGCCAAGGGCCCATAACCTGA